GGCCGGGCGGCGCTGGCAGCCGCCGCGGGTGCCTCCTGCCGGCCCGCGGGGGACCGTGGTGGGCTTTTTCCAGCGAATTTAGAAGGTTTGGGGTTTGGGGTTTTTTTTGGGGGGGGTGTCCGTCCCCCCTGGGGGGTAAATAGTGGGAGAAAGCAGCGCTTTCGTGTTTCCTTTTTTCAGTTCCGAGGGTTATTTTGCAAGTCTGAAGAGCGTTGCGACCTGCAGCGCAGGCAGTGAGAATGCCATCTCTCAATGAAATTTAGTTTCCGCCCGAGACAAAAAAGTTGTTGTTCTTTTTTTTTTTGGAGGGGATGGGGGATGGACAAAACCTCAAGCTGATTCCAAATTCTTGGTTTGACCAGCAGGCTCAAAAATTAACTGTTCGCGTAACTCTTCCTTGCATCACTGTGAGGCTGTACTTGTATCTCTTCTCAAATAAGCTGAATACATTTTAAGAATAGTTTAACTTTGGGATAGAAACCAAGGGGTAGATATGCTGATGCTTTACAGTGGCAAACTTCCTCCTGTCCTCTCCTTCCTTCTCCTCCCTTGAATGTGTGTGGTGTTGAAGATCTTCTGTGCCATTTACTTTGACAAAGGTCACTGATTTCTCCTCCGCTGTACTGGCTCTGTGGCATCCGTGTCAAGAACTAGAAACATCAGAACTGTGTAAAGCTTGGTCCTGGTTAAAACGCTTTGTGGCAAATGAGTTGTTTTCATGAAAATAGTGTCCAGCTGGAAAATCTGTGAAAACTTTTGCTGTGCATAGCATAGCTCCCCTTCTCCCCCCTCTCCTACCGATGGAGTTATGCTTGTGCTACGGCCAGGACTCTTGCTGTTTCTTACCTCTAGTTGCTAATCTATGCCAGGAGCATGCTGACCTGCTCTGAGGGGATTATTCCTCTGCTGAGGAGCTGCCTCAGTCCCTCTTAGCCCTCTGCCTGATACCATTCAGTGGGCTACAACCTAACCATAAGGGTCACTTAATGCTATGTGTGCTTGTTGGCACGACGGAGTGAACTGATCTCTTGTCGGCGTGGTCCCAGGCTGCACCTAGTTCAGCCTGTGCTCAGTTATGGCTTTTAACTTTTTCAGGCAGGTTAAAAGTATATTGCTTCAATGAAAATTCAGATTCTGTATTTCTGAGCAAGCAGTGAAATTCACAGTAACTTGCACAGCTGCCAAGTCATGAAATACAGAGCTCTGGCAAACAAGATTTTGAAGAGTTAGTTTATTTTCGGATACGAATACATAATTTACGATGAGACTATGCTGTCAGGAATACTCTTTTGGTTTCCACTAACTTAAGAAAGAGTCATGTGATAGAGTTGAACAGAGTTAGGTCTGTGGCAGTGTCATCTCATGTCCTAAAATGCAACCTCTCTGGCATCTGGAAGTGTGACCCTGATTCTGTATCTGTTAGCTACAAAGCAGGCTCTCTGGAAGATGACAATATATGGCTTTTTGGCAGAGCAGAGTATAGATGACTAAATGCAATTAGGTATATTGAAATACGGCCAATGAAAGGTGGTGTGGAGTATCCAGGGTTGGTTTTCAAAAGATGATTTGCATGGTCATATTTCCAAGCTCGGAGGCTTGGAAAAGGTCAATGCACATCCATAGGCAAGCTGGAAAAACAAGTTTAGGAGGAAGACCAAGGCATATATATGTGTTCGTGTAGTGTAGGTGTTCTGGCAAACATTCTTTGGATTTGCAACTTGCCTGTTTACATTTCATGTTTTCTTCACTCAGTCCCAACAAAATGAGCTGAGATTTTGACTTTTCTGATGCATCAGTTGATGGAGAGCTCTGATGGGTAGCTGAGGTTCTCCTCATCTTGTTTATTCTGTCTAAACAGCAGTGCAACAGTGACATTGTCAAACCAATAACCTGCATCTTACTTGCTTCAGGTGCCACATGAGGTGGTGCAGAAAGCTGTGCTATGAGGAAGACCACAGAATGCCTTGGAATGGAGAACAACAAAAAGGACCGTCCATTTGGGGAGGTGTCTCAAACACTGCTCCAGCACACAGTAGCTTTCATAGAAGAGGTATTTATAGCCAAATACTTGTAATAAAGCAGCAAAAACAAGGGTGAGATTTTAACCGGCACCAGAGACAACTGATGCAAAATAAATCCTATGAAAGGAAAAAAGTGCCTCTAAAAAAAGTAGCTACTCTACCCTCTATATTATCATCAGAGATGGCTTGTTGCTTGAGGCTTAGGTCTGTGTAGCATGTCGCTCTTGCTTTCTTTTTGTTGCGTTTTGTATAATGGATGTGACTGCTGTCATGCGAATTGTTTACAGCATGAAATATATATTCTTTCCTGTGCTCAGGTCTCTAGAGTCATCCTCGATGCAGTGATAGGTGGTGTACTTCTTGTCCAGTGTATGTCATTGTGAAAGATGAGGGATGAGTCACTTCCCTTGTGGGCAGGGATGACTAACCGCCTCTCCTTTGGGAGCAATGACGTGGTCAAGCTACCGCACCAGAGGTTAGGCACGCAGGGAATCATCCCCTCAAATCAGCTCTCTGCTGACTATGTGATGTAATAACAGCTTATTAAGTCACATGATTAAAGGCTTTTACAGCTCATAAAGGAGGAAGGCTCATAAGAAGGTAATAAGAATCAGAAGAAGCATTTAGTGTTGCACCAGCTTTTTCCAAAATTGTGCTGCTTCTGAAATGTAAATTGTAAGAGATGCGTATACAAGGTTTCAAAATTTGTCTTATAAGAGTCATTAGGATTAAGCTATAAAAACAAGTACTTACATGAGCTTTTCTTAAAGAACAAGGCATAAGTATTTAAATTCATATTTAAATTTCTTTTAGTGTACATGTCTTACGGTTGTCTAGAAACCTCTTGTTTTATTAATAACACTGTGTAGAAGACACTCAGAATTAGGGCTGGATACAAAATGTTTGGGTTTGGGGTTTTTTCTGCCTTGTAAAAGTTCTGGGAATAACATGAAATATTTCATTTTGAAGTGTAGCTGAGTCTATGTGAATATCTTACAGAGAAAGTACAGAGAGACTGTAATGCAGATAGGACTCCTACCTTTGCAATAAAAATTCCCTTAAAATTGCATCTGAAGCTCTGCTTTAAACCAATGGTGGATCTATGCTTGGTACAAAAAGGCAACATCATGGATGTAAAGGTGTTGCACTGTTCTTTCCAGGTCCTGATTCATGCCTGTGGTCCTGACCCTGATTACCTGGGACTCTTTCCCAAAATTTTGAAGAGCATTGGCTCATCACAATAACATGTTTTTAAATGGAAATACCCTAGTTCTGAGGAAATTTTTGTAATTACAGATCCAGGATCAAATTTTGGATTGAGGAAGAGACCAATATAGACCTGTAGCTGGGATTCAGGAAAGCCAAATTTAAGACCAGGACAGCCAAACAGGTTTGACAGAACAGTTTTAGTTGTTACTCCTGCATATCTATGAAAAATTGGTGTTTCAAGGAGGGAATAAATGTGTGCCATTTACACCACAGTATTACAGATACTGTGTATAAATACCGATGGCAATGACAAAAAGAATAGTTTTCATCTTCCTGTCTTTTAGTACTTTGTTAGCAGCATTCAGATTTCAGGCTGGTCATTATCTCAGCAGTTTGATCTCGAGAGGCAGCAGTTATGAATAGGAGCAGGGATAGAACTGCAACTCTCCTGCCGAGAAGCAAATCTCTTCCTGATTGAAGCCCATGACAAAACTCCCATCAACTTCAAAGGAGAAGGAGTTCAAGCACAGCAACCTGACTGCATCTGAAATCCACTGTTGGGCACCCTGGAAAGGTGAACTCTTTTTTAAAAGATTAGTAAGGAAGAGAAGAAAAATGAGAGCAAATCGTGACTAGCATAAAGAAAAGAGGAAGTTGACAACTAAGTTCACAGTTTGTTGCTAAATCTGTCTTTATTAAGGAAGCTGATTTTTGTGCAAGCTAATGTAGGCAATCAGCTGGCTTAGGTAGTTCTGCTTAAAATGAGAATGGGATTATTTCTCCTTTGGTATGATGGTATGGAAACAAATATCTAAGATGTGGTTGTCACAAACAGTATCTGTAGCACTATTGTGGCTGTTTACTTAACTAGCATATTCTGTAGAGAGAAGCCAAAATTTATCAGCAGTAGCACATGCTAAACTTTTACCTTAAATGCCAAACTTTTAACTTAACTACCAGTCTCCATGTGTTGCTCATCTGTGTTACTAAAACAACAATAAAAAGTAAAGGCTTCAGAAAAAAGTGCTTAAGAGTATTTTAAAACCTTTTGAAAAGGAGAGATGAGATAGGAAATGAAAGTTTAGAGATATTGATGTGAATTTAGTGCTTGCTCAGTACATACACAAGAAGTTTCATTTATAGCCCCGATATTTAAGTCTAGTCTCTAAACTCCAGTACCATCTCATACCCTGACTTCAGTGTTCAACAACAGAAAAATACCCCCCCAAATGTCAGTTTTGCTTCTCTTTTCCATGCTGAAGCAAACCCAAACCCTACCAGATGTATGAAGTTTGGGAAGTTTCAGGGGTTTTTTATGTTAAGGGAGCATGATTTCCATCACAGAGCCACAAATGAACTCGTTCAATTAATGTCTGCCTTACAAGTCTCTAGGGAGCATACAAGCAGTGTAAGGCATGCCCTCTTCTTGGACGAGATGGGAACTGGCCCGAGCGACAGATCTCAGGAAGGCTTTTGGGAGGGGAGGACGGGCTGCCGTGGGAGCAGGGCTCCGCTGCCCTGAAGCAGCCGGCGGCACTCAGGTGCAGGCTTGGAAGGTGTGTGAGCTTCAAAGCGCTGACGAAACCGTCTGGTACTCTGTCGGGCCCTAATAGATAAGGTGTTGGGAGAGGGATGCTGGTTAAAACAGATAAACAGAAGCACTGTGCTGCTCGTCCTAGCTTTTCTCGCTCGTATTGTGGCCCACTTGCTTACACAGTGCAGTTGAGTAATAACTGCAAATGGGTACGCTGGGGCTGCTCCTGTGCTATTCATGTGTCCTCACTGTCAAAACAAGCAAAACTGAACCCTAAAAGCGAACCTCAAGTTTCTAAGTACTTGTGCAAGAGCAGACTTGCATCGCTATTTTCCTTATTGCTTCCCTTTCTGTTATTTTTCAGTTTCTTGTTTGTAAATCACTCTGGCACAGAGAGGAGTAAATGGGACACAGTATGGATGTAGCAGCACATCTCTAGCTGCAATAGGCCTAAACCTGAGTTCATAGCAAGGGTCCATCTCCCTGAAATCTGTAACTCAAAGCTTACTCGTTAATTTTGATGTATGGCAACAAAATATTTTGAGCCTTATGAGGGCCTGAAGTGAATGAAGTCCATACACAGATGAAGACATTCCTCCAAGAAGCTCGCTTGAGATGCTGGTGTGGAGATTTAATTAATCTATCTATGGCTTGCACCTGATTCAGCAAAGTACTTTGGTTTGAGCATGTGCTTAATTCTAAGTGTCATGACAAATAGTAACATACTTCAAGTTCCTACATGCTTTCCTGAGCAGAACTCTGTACTGACTGACACAGTTTAAGAAACAATGCGGAGAGAAGTTAGGAAATGTTTATGTAGTGAAAGAAGATGAAAGATTTAAAATAAATGTGTGAACTGGAGCAAAATTCATAATCAGCGTTATGCATTTGCACCACAGAAAAAAATATCTTTCCAAACGATATCACAGGTGCCTATTTCTAGGAAATCATTTAAGTATGATTTTATTATAGCCTGCAAGTAAACTGTCTTTAAATGGTATATATTAGTAGCTATTAAACCATAGAAAGGAGGGTTTGTGCTACTAATAGGATTTGTTTCTCCTGTTAGGAAAATACTGGATATAGGGGATGTATGACTATGCCTGCTCGCCTCTCCCCCTACTCCCCATCTGTTTCTATTTTCTGAGGGAAGGAGGAGAGAGATAATAAAAGTGGTTTAAATTTCTTCTGCATTTCTGAAGCTGCTCAGAATTCATTTTCAGCTGACTTAGAAGCAATACTGTCCCAAAACGTAATTTCCATCTACATTACAATTTAACTGAGATTCAAGTACGTATTTCTGTTGTTAGAAAAAGAAATATAAAGCTGATTTTGATTCAAATAGTCATGAGTTTGAGAAGTGTGGCTTGGGTTAGCTTGTTCTTCTCAGATTTAAAGAAGCAGTTTGCAGTATGTCACCAATAGCCAAGTTTACGGTTATTACTGATTTGTAATGTTACTTCTCCCGCCTCGACTCCAGGTGTTAGTGCCTATTCTAAGCAATAAGGAAAACCATACGTCCTGGCCAGGTTGCATTTCCCAAGACATGGAGCATCCATCCTGTGGAAATCATGAAAAATAAAACACAAATTATGAAAGGACTGATGTCAGGAACAACTCATCTTCCCACTCCTACAGATGCAGCAAAGATTGACTTGCATCAAATATATGCTGAAAATAAGTAAGGAAAGAGTATTGTGTGAGCTATGCAACACAGGAGGAAAAAAAAAGAAAAGGCAAAAAAAGTGTGGTGCTTTTGGTGATTTTTAGTCTCAGATGCAAACTGGTAGTAAATTGCATTAAAGAGAAAGTAACTAAATGCTTAGTGTTCCAAATATAATATTTTTATTACTTCATTTTTTTCTAAGGCTTAAAAGGTGTTTAAAAATATTTTCTGTGCAATTAATATATTTTAAACACTGTAATTGCTCTGTCATATGAAAACATTAATTTCTAGGAATTTATATTTTTCGGTTTATTAATTTCAAAAGCAAGACTTGAGCTGTCTGTAGAGTCACCAGAATTTGGAATCACATGAAGCTATGCTTCCAGAGTACAAAATAAGGTTATTCTGTTGAATTACCTTTTAAATGTGTTTGCAATAGATTGCACTTCTCTGTTGCTTTGAGTGTTTAATGTGAACTGAACTCTTACCATAAAAGGCATTTTACTGTTTTCAGTGAGATTAGTAGCAGTCTCAAACGATGGCATCAAAAAGGAGCATGGCACTAATCACTGGGATGTGCGTCTATTACCTGTAGAAACAACAATAATATCAGCTATGTCGCAGAGAACTCACAGTTTGAGTAAACCAAAGGTTTGATTTTGGTTTAGGTCTGACTGTGTACAGAGATGTTTGATAATCAGTTGTTGGGTAAGTGAAGATTTATAATCCTGTCAATAATAAATTATTTTGAAGGCCCTGGTCAGGGTCAGCTCCTTGCTGTATGTATGTCGTAGCAGTGAAGCAGGTGTGCCAGGCAGAATAGTGTAAGTAAGTACGGAGCTAAAACCAAGGCAGAACAAATGAATTAGCTTAAATGAAAGGACTAAAGGGAAGAAAAACAGAGTGTGAAAGGGAGAATGTAAACTTTAATGTCCCATTAATATTTTATTAAAAAGCTTTGCTGTGTATTATTAGCTCCTCTTTCTGTAAATGCTGGCAAAGTGTAATAAAAATATATTAAATAAAATCTATTTAATATTTATGTTAATTATCAGCATTCGTTCAAACACCAAATTACCATGTAACTTACTTATTGGAAAACAAAACAGTAAAATGCAGATTTTTTACATCTGAAATAATTGCAAGGAACCGTTCAAAGGATATGCTGCCGATAATTTCTGAGAGGGTGTTTGGCCATGGCTTTGATGAGTAAACACATCTGGAAGTGCGATCTGTGTCTTCACAAACAGCCTTTTTAGCTCTGTCTTCAGGGTTGTTTCTTATGATTTTCCTCTTATCGGAACTGAATTCCAAATTTCATCCTTAAATGTAAAGGGGAGTGGGGGGAGAAGAGCTCTGTACTATCACAGTAGAGTGCTTGCTTTGAAATTCAGTGGCTTTCTTCATATTTTACAGACAAGATCCCAATTCCAGGGTAGTACTACATGCTGTTGAATCAATGGTTATTAGGTGGTCACATCAGCTGCATGACACTGAATAGGGATTCTGCTGAACTTCTGCATGGCTTTCATTCAGACCCCCAAACTGAGGTGAACTTCTGGAAAGGAAGAAAAGACAATCTTTTATATATAAATAAGCAAGTAAGTGATTTCAGGTATTATTGTAAACATCAAGGAGAACTTTCTCTTGATTTGCCTTTCCCCGTGCACTCTGAAAAATGACACACCACGATGATTTTTTGTTGTTTTATTTTTGCAAATAGCTTATAGTGGTTTCTCAAAGTAATCAGACTTTGCATAAGTTACCAAAGGAAAACAGAGTTAAACATCAGAGGACAGTGAAAATTGCTGATGAAGGGCTTTGTAGCTGCAAGGAATTCTGTTGTTCTTGTCTTTTTTCTAAATTTCTTCCCATGACATTTCTCAAACTCTGGAGAAAATTAGGTTAAGAACAAAGTTTATATTTGGGACATTATTGCCAAATTTGGCTATGAAATGGATACTATTGTTTAATGATAATAATCATAGCTTGTTACGAAGTGAAACAGCTCTTTTTAATTGAGAAAGATATGCAAGGTTATTCACTTTCCAAATGTGAAATGTTGTTGGGAGCTGTGTTTAATCCTCTGCTTCCTCCGTGCTTGTTGTTAGCGATGCTGCGATGTCAGGCAAGTGAACATTATGAAGAGCCCAGTTCATTCCCCACTGAAAGCTTTTGGGGCCTTTCCCTGCTTTTCAGCTGGCATGGATCAGCCTTTATCTGCTAGTAGACTTGAGACATATTTATTCATTAATTCTCTTTCTTTTGACAGGCAACCATGATCTTTAATTGCTTTCTTTCTCTGTTGTTAAATTATAGCTTCAGAGTCCTGTCCAAAAAATGATTAAGATCTTAAAAGCCAAAGAAAGCAGCTATTACCCTGCTTCTCAGGACATTTTCAAGGAAGTAGAGGATGGTAAGGGTAGAGAGAATGAGTTCCACGAGCTGTTTCTTGCAGGAGAAGAGGATCAGGTCTCTTCTCCCACTCCCTGGTCGCAGGTCACCCTGGAAGCTGCACGCTTGTCCCCTCAGGCAGGGGGGGTCGGGGAGACTGGCTGCCTACTGTTCCTAAGGAAGGATTGTGGTGACCATTTAGAAAGTACAACAGGCTGGCTTTGAAGGGGATTCTCCTGTTTCTTGACCAACAGAAGTGCCTCCAGAACAGCGAATCCTACAGAACAGCTTTGCTTGCCAACGTTTAAAAGTTCTCACACTCCCACCAAAACAGTGGGCTTCAGTGGAAGCATGGGGAAATCTTAGTGATGACAGGAGGACAGAAAATGCATCAAGGCGGCTCATTCACAGCTTGTTTGCAAACCCCCTGTTTCCTTGGTTTGCATAGCTCTTACCAGCATTTTGTAATTCACCAAAGGAAATACCTACCAAGAAACGTGGTAAGAAAAGAGGCAGCAAGTATATACAGGGGGCTATCAGCGAGTAAGACATCCAGTCTTACAGCGCCTGACAGCGCCTGCCAATGTCTTACTCGCTGATAGCCCCCTGTATATACTTGCTGCCTCTTTTCTTACCACGTTTCTTGGTAGGTATTTCCTTTGGTGAATTACAAAATGCTGGTAAGAGCTATGCAAACCAAGGAAACAGGGGGTTTGCAAACAAGCTGTGAATGAGCCGCCTTGATGCATTTTCTGTCCTCCTGTCATCACTAAGATTTCCCCATGCTTCCACTGAAGCCCACTGTTTTGGTGGGAGTGTGAGAACTTTTAAACGTTGGCAAGCAAAGCTGTTCTGTAGGATTCGCTGTTCTGGAGGCACTTCTGTTGGTCAAGAAACAGGAGAATCCCCTTCAAAGCCAGCCTGTTGTACTTTCTAAATGGTCACCACAATCCTTCCTTAGGAACAGTAGGCAGCCAGTCTCCCCGACCCCCCCTGCCTGAGGGGACAAGCGTGCAGCTTCCAGGGTGACCTGCGACCAGGGAGTGGGAGAAGAGACCTGATCCTCTTCTCCTGCAAGAAACAGCTC